TCAGAGCGCTGAGAACCCAAACCACACAGGCATCCTGTCAAGAAGAATACAGATTACATACTTGACACACATTTAACTCTTGCCTTTAACTGTTAGGGTTAAGAGTCCAAAGCTACAAGTTAGCTTAAATACATTTAAGAAATCTTAAGCCTGTCTCATTTCTCATGTGGTTATTTTTTTTAGAGGAGTAACTTTCATTCTTTGTTTGGATGCCCATGACAGAAAACTTCTTCATAGGTTTCTATATATTAAGTTCACAGCCTCAGGTTTTTAAACTTAATTTTCATAGAGAGCTGCTAAAGCCTGTCTTGCAACTTCATTGTTTGGTCTCCCATTATAATCACCTATTGTAATCTCCCCTTTAGATCCACAGTTTCAGTCTAAAATGGTAGCATAAACATTAGACGTTTACTGTTATTTGTACAGGCTATTGTACTGTTGTGAATCTAGAAAGCACTTAAGCTCATGAGATCTGTGTTTGTTGATAATTAACTAGAACATGGAGCTATAGTGCCATCACAGGCTTATATTGCCATCAGGCCTTGAGCCTCGGGGTGAGTACAGATATAAAACTTAACATATATTTGCTCGACAGTAGTGGCACTGCGGTGGCAACTGAAGCGCTCATAGGACTGTGCGTTAATTGTCTGCGAACAAGACAAACATGGAGGACAGACACCACTTCCGCCACACCACCATCTGTTACACAGACTCCATAGAGGTGACTGGTAGTGTGTGTGTGTGTGTGTGCGTGTGTGTGCGCGCGTGTGTGTGTGTGTTTGTGTGAGTGACAGCACTGGGGGATGGAAGGGTAGGGGTGTGCTGCGTCTGTCTGCATGTATTTGTAAGACACAAGTGTGTGTGTGGGTTGCAGGTGGCAGGGGGTGGGGGGTGTGTGTGTGTGTGTGTGTGTGGATCTCTGAGGAGACTAAAGGACCATTTGGTAAAACAATAGCAGAGGAAGCCCCACTTCCACAGGCCACATGTGTTCCTATTAATTTGCGGCGAGGATGCTCTTTGCCAGCCTCTAAGTGTCCATGTGTCTCTCTTTAGAGTGAATGAATGGGTACAGCTTGCACACTGTGGGGGGCATGGGTTCGATAATTTGACATGGCTGGGGGTTGGGGGATTTATGGGGTGGGGGGCTTGTAGTCTAGGGAAGACCTAGGGCAGCATAATGAGAGATACAATTATATGAACCTGGCATTGATGCACTCAGCAGAAACAAAACAATAAAATGGCATAAGGTCAGAGGATAAAATATCTTCAGGTTCAATTGTCATAGCTGTCAAATAAACATGACCTTGAATGCGGCTTATTTCCAGTGCCCTCACCCTCCCCAAAACACAAACTGAGGCCTCCGCTCTCTCTGTGATTTGCCATATCCATTATGTGGATCCCATTAGTTTGCAGTCAGCAACTAAGTAACTGAGTTTATGAGATACAAGTAAGTACATGTGCTACCACCTCTCATGTATTTGGCAGACGGCAGAAAAATCCACTCACTTACCGTTACACCATTGGAATGGTTGCATGAAATTTGACTCCCAGGGCAGCAGCAGTAAATTCAGGCCCTGTCAGGAGTAGGTTGGATGAGAGCCAAGCTCGTGGGCTGGAGCTCCGGACACTGAATCTGTTTGGAGCCTGGATTCAGTCACTCTGAGCTGGATCGCTCTTTTGTTGGGTTGTTTTACCTCCTCAAAAAACAACCATCAAGATTTTCAGATTTGCTCAGATTCCACAAATCCTCAGGAGGTGTGGTTATGTTGGCTCAGCAGTCTGTGCTGCCCAGCATTCCCAAATCTGGATTAACCACTCCGTGTAAAGATTGGGAGATTTGGGACTGGAGTTTGGACCAGGACTGGAGACCTCATGTGCTTCTGGATCCCAGCGAGAATGATGTCATCACGGGAGAGAGAAGAAGAGACAAAGAAATCTTGTTGACAAGAAATGATTGTTGTTCAGATGCCTCATAACGTGTTATTCAGGAGTTGTTATTGTGAAAAGCTGCATCTCACTCAATCACAATGTCATAAACAACACAGGCTTCTTGGTTACAGGAAATACTCACGTTTCCAGTAGAAAAGGGCCTCTTTGACTTCACTTTGTCTCTGCAGTATCGTCCCTTCACCAATTTCAGTGACATCCACCGTTCAAAATGACAGTCCTCGTCCAATGAAGGTAATTATCTGGCATTAATCTGTGCTTTGTCTTCCTCCCAAAGCTGCTTTTTTAACAGAGGATTTTCACAAGTCTCATCCCCCTCTCTTCTTGTCTGTTGTCTCCTCCTCCAGTCCTCTGATCTTGCAGTGGGTATTCCTCCTCAGTACAGAAGGCAGAAATGTACTTCTCTCAAAGCCCAAACAAAGTGAGGACAGCTCCATGCAGTCAACAACAGTCCTCTAGCTGGGTTTGGTGTTTTGCTGGTGAGTGTGTGTTTGTGTGTCAGTCAGTGCATGTGTGTGTGTGTGCGTAGGGGGGGATCCTACTCTCCCTCTAACCATCTGCTCCTTCAATTGAGAAAAAAAAAAATCAGAGACAAAGGCGATGTGTGTGCACAAGTGTGTCTGCGTGTGTCGTGTTCAGTCTCTCCCGCCTCCAGCTGGCTTTGTCATGGCAGGCTTCCCCTCTTCCTCATTCAATCCATAATGGTGCTCAGAGAGAGCCTGCAACTCGCCTTTCCCTTCCTCCCCTTGCTCTTGCTCTGCTCTGCCTTGGGTTTGTAAACAGATCTCTGCTCATGTGACCAGCCGTTTTGCCTCGCAACTCTCCTCTCCCTCAGCCCTCCCTTGCTACCTCTGTCCTCCAATCTGTAGGCAGAAGGAAGGCAGAATGAGCCAGACACTGACGAATAGGGCGCCTGCAAGCATGCTGATGTGTATGTGTCTGTATGCGCACACCCCTGTGCATGTATATGTGAGAGGGAGACAAGAGAGACACTTGCAGCAAAGTCAAGGGAGGCCCCGGTCAGTAACATGCGCATGGCTGATGTCCTGACAACCAAAACAAAGCCATTTGTGTGAAGTGGAAGTCAGCAAAAGAAGAGAAGATGCAACCTTGTTTCCTTCCACTTCCTTCCTTCACACATACGCAGATTGTGTTTTGAACTACAGCACTTTATTTTTCATGTTCGCTTTGTTTGATCTATATATAAACATCCTGTCACTCCTTTAGAGCGAAGGAACAAATAGAAAGAGCATGGATGAGAGGAGGAGGCATCTCTGCATATGGGGAGATATGAAGAAAAGTAATACCAAGAGAAAAAGAGGGAGACACATAGAAAAATCACAGCCTGGACAAAGACGTTTCATACACGTCCACCCCCACACCAGCGACCCTGGCTGCCAATTCGCTGAGAGAGAGAACAGCTGCTGGGCTACTGGACGAGCTGTGAGACGGTCAAGGGGAGTGCTGCTCCACTAATCCCCAGGGGGAGGGAGGGAGAGGCTTCAATGGGATCCATGCCATTTTCATTCACCCTACCCTCCTCCTCCTCCTACCCTCCTGCTCTAGTAATGATGTTACTGTTGAGTACAGAGGAACAGCTGGATGGACTGCACAGATGCATGGGCATAAATACAGTGCTTAATACACTGCGCGCATTGTGGGGTGTTTACAGGTTTCAAAGATGATGTGTGTTGTAGCTACAGGGTTGTGTTGTTGGCATGTGAAGGCTGGTGGTTTTGGCAAAAGCACGCCCTCTTGTGAAATATGGTGAAAACACCATTGTATCAACAGTTTCCTGAAGATGTGCAGTAAAAATGAAAATGTTCAGCTGTAATGAAATCCCTGCAAAAATACACTCACAAGGCTTTTTACAAGATAGAAGAGTCAACATTTCCATGAAAAAAGGTTTTAACAAGAGGTGACTGACAAAACTGAGTGCAAAAGTGAGCGAGAGAGAGAGAGAGATACAAATGCTGACCTTGTTTTCTTAATGGCATGTAAATTGTTTTGGCTGACACAACCTTTTGTTTTTTTTGCATAAATCATAGGTTTGCCTGACTGGAAATACAGTAGCACTGTAGGGTTATCTGCTCTCACACGGTTCAAACCAGAGATAATGTTTGCAAAACATAATAAACCAAGATTATACTGTGTTAATGGAGACATTTCAATTCTTGAATGGCTAGGTTGATATTTTTTAAGGATTCTGCCAAACCCTTGTTACATGGGCCAATACAGATCAAGTATTTGTCTGAATTACATTAATATCTGAGTGTATTGAATTGAGAATGAATGTTTTTTTTTTTATTTCTTATGCATTCAGCTTTTCATTTGCAAGAGAAAGACTTTCTTATTTCTTCTTTCAGACGTTGCGTAGTTTTGCCTTAAAGCAAGGAGCAACCGGGAGTTCAAGTGCATGCAGCTCATAAGACCCACGTCGACACTTTCAGTTTTGTGCCCTGGGAATATTTATGGTGGCCTCACACTTGTGAGCAACACAAACATTCATTAGTGTTGTTATCAATGAGAATTCTCCAGTGTGCTGTAATAATGCTTTACTATCGGCCCGATGCAGCAGCTTTACTTCTGCAGCCTACAATTTAAAGACAAGGTTTTTTGCCAAGCTCAGTCCCTCAGAGAGAAGTGGCAGATTGTGTTTTCATTGGTATATCATGCCCTATAGATAAAACAGTGGTGACAACAGTACAAACAAGTTTTGGACTACACCCAGTACTAGACATCTTTTGAGAGAAATTAACTGTGTGTGAACCAGAAATATGATGACAGTTTTTACACTTTGTGCTTATCATGCTCCATCAGTCAAACTATACATTCCTCTTTATATCCATTCATAAAATGTGTACTAAATTAAATATATATATATTTAATTGAATGTAGAAATATACATATATATATACATATATATGTATATTTCTAACAAATGTATATATGTATATTTCTAACCAAATTTTACAAATTCTAAAAATAAAGTTGTTATTCCTGAAACTCTGAAACAGTGTGATTGACTGAACGCTAAATAAGATCCAGCTGCATCAGACCTTACTGTAATACACTGCCCATTCCTTTTTTCCCACATCATGGGTGTGTCCCTTTACAAACCCATTAAGTGCTCCATTGGCTTCTCCATTCAGTCTGCCATTGTTTTCACCATCTATTTGGTCCTTTCTCAGAGCCAGTGCTGGCTTACAGGTGTGCCAGTTCCACAAAACTTTATTCATATCATCCTGGGCTCTGATACCCAGAAGCTTGTCTTCATCACTTTTCTTGTTGTCTTCGTCATCATCGTCACTGTCGTCGTTGCAGGAGCGATGGCGGTGGAAGCTGCGCATCTCCCCACTGATGTTCTCAAAGTACTGGTGGATGCAAACCTTGGCAAAGCTCTTGGCGTGCTCCTTACAGGTCTCGTCGAACATCTTGCGCTCAATGTCAATGTAATGAGACCAGTACTTGGTCTTGAGGAAAGCGGCCTGGGTAAAGCATGGTCGAATAGCCCGGATCAGGAAGGCTGTGAAGGTCATCATCAGCAAAAACATCCATCCACATGCCTGTGAAATATAGACATGTATTATTGGTATAGCAAGCTAAGCATTATTTTGAGCCCTCATAATAATACTCTGTGGTCAGAATATAGACAATCGGGAAATGTGTCTTGAGAGTGAACGTATTATCTGGTTAATCTTGACTCCTTCAGTCTGGCTGAACAGGACATGCCATAGTGTTTAGTGTTGTTCTTGTAAATATTTGGTTATAGGCAAACAGTCGAATATGTGATGGAAAAGGCATATCTAGCAGTTTCCCATCAGTTTCATAGCTCATTAACAGAATCTGTATATCAATAGACTTTTTAGAGAGGTTACTTTTAAGCCTGTATAATTGCCCTTCAGCTGATCAAAGACCTAAATAACAGTGTGGGTGTTTCTGGACGGATGAAATAGGTCCCAGTGCCTTGAATGATAAATTTAGAGGCTTATCTATCCCTCTACTAAGCGAACCGGAAAGCTCTAGCGAACTCAAAGTGCAAAGTGAGTTCGAGTCTGGCGGGGGGATTTTTGTTAAGCACAGTTTTTTAGGAATAAAGCAAGAACAATTAAATTTTGCTGAGTCACACTTTTCAGTGATAAAAGTTGAAAAACTTCTTCTGAATGTGCCCCCAACTTTTTGCCAAACCCTTACTGTACACATAGCCTATACAATATGTGTATATAGAGATAAAGATACTGAGGTCATGAGTCCACTAACTGTATCCCCTCCAATTCCAATTCAGAGTTGATCAATTTAGCTATACAGTTGTTTCTTCATTAATTAATTAATTTTGTTGTTTTGTGGTGAGAGTGAAATTCTGGAATCAGCTAAACTACCCCTTGTTTGTCAAAACCCTCAATTTGGATTCAGCCATCAACAATTTTATTGCTTACACCAGAGCTTTTCACACTGTGACATACCAAAATGTCTGCTGTGAACAAAGCCTGTGATAGCTATGATGCTTATGAGAACATATTTAACTACATTAAGTGCTTTACTGTCTGAAAATACAATCTAGTCATGTTGTCAGTATTAGCTAGCTAGCTTTGCTGACCCCAAATTCCCACACAACTACAATAGCTTATGTTAGGCTATAAGCTAAAAGCAATAGCCAATTGTACTCAGATGTATGTATTCTCAGTTTGACTCAACTATGCCGTTTGACTCGTTTAGGTCAGAGAAATCATTTGTCTCACTTGTTTCCAGATCTGCCTCGGTCAACAGGTCGTCATGACCTGTTAGTTTAAAACCATTTACAGAAAAACTGAGAGACAGGAAATCACCAGGCTACCTGTGATATACACTTGATGTATCGTGATGCTGCCACTCTTATTTCCTGATGCTCAAACAGATCTTTGCATGGAATCCTTGCCAGCAGTTTTATCTTCTCCGTCTCTGACATCCCCTTGACAAGACTGTAATTCCCAAACCTGTCAATATCCAAGTTGATGCTGAAAGCACACAGGAAACTTTTCCCATCCATGAGAGTGACAGACACCCAAACTGCAGGTGCTATCAAGGATCTCTGTGTGATTGAACAAAACATGTAGCGGAGGATTGTAGGATCCTTCCTGCGTCTGCCTGTGGGTCTTTTCCACTCCTCGGCCAGCACTGACACATTATTGTTCAGAACAAAACCTAACATAAAGAACCATATAGGTGGGATGAAAAGCAGTCCGATCCCATAGGTGTAGTTGTACTCTGGCATGCAGGGGCAGCTGAATTCAAAAGCAGAGTACATCTGTGCACTAGCTAGTGCCATGATACCGCAGATCCCATTCATAAAAGATTCCTGGTTGGACTGAAGGAACTGGAACATCATACGAAACTTATCCATCTTGGGAGATGTGGTGGACCTTTGCTTCTGATAAAATTAAATCTGTGAAAAGAAGTATGGTAGAAAGTTTCAAATCAGTCAGTAAAAAGTGGTAGAAACAGCACCACAGCATGCTGATTCTTGTGTCATTATTGTAAATCACTTGAAAATCAATGTTAAACCTGTTGTGTTCATTGAAATTTAGTAGGAATCACTTTACCACCGTCTGATAAGAACCTCTTTATAAAGGGATTATAATAATAATAATGTTTTATAGATATTTTATAAGCCATTGATAAGAATAATGTTTGATTGCTAGATTATAAATAATATAAATAATAAAAATATAAATAATCTATCATCATGGTTGGATCAAGTCATTAACTTTGATTGATAATAATAAACCATTAGGTCAATAGTAATATATGTTAATAAATCAAAAATAAAGGCTAATAAACTTGTGGTTAGAAATGTTAATGAGTCATTAAGTGTTCTCATTTTCTAATTAGCCTACAACACATCTTAGTAAGTCATCTGTAATGATAAATGTTAGTCATTCATAAACAATACTTACAAGTTGTGAATGTAAATAAGTTGTTAATAGATTTGTTTTGTACGCTGCATCTCTTTTCCAGAAGATGGACGGCTCACAGGCCAGACAGATTTTTCACAATCCAGCAATCCAAAAATCTTATTAATGGCATGTCACTGAGCAATAAAACCTTCAGAAACAATCTGTTAACCATTATAATTTATGAACTCTTTAATAACGTTCGTTATTAGAGAGTACCAGAGTCTCACAGGTTTTATGAGTATATTTAGAGATAATAAAACAAAGTGCAGATATTGATCAGAAAGTAGCAACACAAACACTCTTACCTGTTTTCTTGTGGATAAACAAGAGGAAAGGAAAATTTCATATAATGACAATGTCCATAGTAAAAAACATGCAGTCCTTATCAGGCGTTGAAGCTCTGACTGACTGAAAGGTGTCTCTCGAACTCTCTGTGGTGATTTTCAAAGCTGACCACATCATCTGTCATCTTGCCCCTCCCTTCACACGCACCTGTGTTTCGTGTGATGTAACAAAGATTCGCATTCAACCCACACTTTCTCTAAAGTAAAGCTGCTACAGTGCTCAGAAAACACTGACATACTTTCCAGTCAGTTCTTTTATAGTTCATATTAATATTGTTAGTTATTGACTTAGATGGACATAGTATGTAGTAGTGTTACCTCAAGTTACCTAAAGAGAGCTGCTCAGCTGTGACGATCCAGACATGCAAAAACGGCCTCGAAACATTCAAATATCTGTGGCTTTGGCTGGAAAATTTGGTTGTTGACTAAGAGGTGAAGGGTGAATCTGTTTCCACTTAATCAGAACCAAATAAATCAAGGGACAATGGCTGTTGCATGCAAAATATAATAACCATTACATCTCTAAGGGATTTTATTAGTTTATTTCACATAGCCATTTGAACTCAACTGCTCCCACTGAATGAGGCAAAGCTTGACAAACCAGTTGTAAGACCACAGGAGAATAAAAGGCAGGGGCTTACTTTCCTATTCATAGGCACTTTTACACGTAATTAGTCTTATTTTGAACCATAGTATGTAGCCTAATGCTTGGTCCTTCATATCATAGTATAATATATATATATACGTATATAATATAACAGTCTATGGGTCAATGGTTCGTTTCAGACTTTTCTGAACGTGCAGTGAAACTTACAGGAAGTTAGTGCTATCTGTTTTTCTTCAGTGTATTGCACAGGAAAATGTCACAGCTGAGCACATGGGCTGGGTGTGCAGGAAATAAGTCACGAAAGACAACCTACATCTAAAATAGGAAGAGATCACTGAGCCTGTGGCTGTGCAAGGTTACTTTTACTTCCTCCTTTGTACCTATTCACACAGTACTGCAACACTGCAATATTGAGGTAAGTAATCATTTGCTCTGGTGTGGATTCTCATTCTCCTTTAATCTTATTTGCAGCGATTAATTGTGTTTCATGTAAAATGTAGTCTTAGGGTAAAGTGGATGCTTTCAGGCTGTCGAGGAAGTAGCTCATTAGTTTCTAGCTTTGCATCATTGTGAAATTTACTGGCAAGAACATTTTTCATAAGTATTTTTAAATATAATTATAAGGATTTCAGGATTTTCATCTTTTATTTTTACATATTTAATGAATGACAAATGCATTTTCAAAATCTCCAAAAATGATTTGTAACAATTCTTTATTCTGTTTGATCTGTTCACACACAGTATTGACGATGCAAGATACTCTGCTGCGAGTGTTTTTGGTGGGTCTGGGTCTCCTTATGTGTCCGAAGGATGACCCCGGGGTGGAGGAAGAATTGGGTGATATCATCACAGTGGGAATGCAAAAGCACGACGAGAAGCTGCTGAGGGAGGAAAAGAAACTAGACCAGGAAATGGCACCTGTCCGTGAGAAAATGACACATAATGACGACTATGATGGTCACAAATTACCAGAAGGGGGACATTTTATAGCAAGTCCAGAGTCCAGAAGCGAATCTGGCCATGAGCTAGAGGGAAACTTACGGTTGGACGTGAGGAGTAAACAGAGGGAAGACATTCAGACTGAACCAATCAGACCACAGGGGCAACAACAAAAGCCAGAGGAGATGGAAGACTTCAGCTCCAAAGAGGAAGCATCGTCTCTGTCAGAAGGCCACATCAAGGTGTCAGAAAATGAAACATCAGAGAAGGTTATCACTGACTCGGGGGAGGATTACCTCTGGTACATATGGAATACATTCTCCATTATTTCCATGATCCGCTTCTTCAAGAAATACTTGAGAAAAAATTCCCAGATGAAACAAGGTGAAGCCAGGACCTCTTTCTCAGGGACCTGCATCGCTGGTGAAGTGTCACTACCCGACAGTGACACTCTGCAGAGTTTTCATTCTAAATGTGTTCAAGCCTCATCCAATAAGAAGTGGAGGGAGGATGAATTTTTGGAAGGGTTTGCTACTCAGATGGTGGAGACCATGAGGGCCATCTGTGATAGAAATGGAGGTATGGTGATTGGGGACTGTCAGATGTTGGATGCATGTGATATAATTGTTCCCATCACCCCGCCTGAGCCTTATAGTTTCCAGTACCTTCTCAGGAATAACCATGTGAGTGACCTGCAGCTGGATATCCCAATCTGTGGTCAAATAAAAGTGGTGGAAAATAAGAAAATCCAAAATGGCTGCCCCTGCCAGTCCTATGATGCGGATGATGATATGGTTTGCCTGCTGCATTGTGAAAATGACAAAGTAAAGACAAAAGCTACTGATGTTTGCGATGGTATGCTTTGCTTGAAGAACACGCCTTTCCTGTCAAAATCTCAGGTTACCAGGTGGTTTCAGAGCACTATCAAACAAGCATGGGCACTGATTTCATACAAGTATGAATTTGACCTCAGCATTCGTAATGTCGATGCTCCGGGTGCTCTGGTTGTTCGATTCAGATCAGGGAAGAAGGTTAGCTTCAGCGTGAATCCTGTAGTTAAATTAAACACTGCTGCTCATTTCTACATCACACCTTGTTCCCCAAACAACTTGGACACTTTCTGGACACTCTCCCTGACCATCTACGAAGATCAGCTCTTAGAAGGCCTCTCTAAACGGCTGCCTTTAAACTCCTGCCACAGTCAAACTCTTGAAATTGCACATTTCCTTCACAAGAGACAAACAGCACTGTCTGGAATTAGTGCGCTCAAGGATTTTCATTTCAAAACTGCACTAATGCATCTGCTTCTGACCAAAGACCCATCACAGTGGAAACCAAATGACGTGGCTTGGAGGCTACGAGACTTACTGGACTTCATGGAGAGAAGCCTAGAGAAAAAGCTCCTGCACCATGTTTTGATTGGAAACCCTTTAACCAAGAATATTATTCAACTCCCTGCTGAGTTTACTCAAGCAAAGCCAGTTAATCTCTTCCATCCCCTTGTGGTACATGACTGTATCTGCAGAAATGCTCTGATGCATTTCCAGGAAATGCTCAGAAACACACACATGCTGATACGTGATTATGTTGATAAGTGTCAGCCATTTGAGAAAATGTAGTTTTGAAGTCTTAAGTGTAGAGTTTAACTTATGGTTTTAATCTCTTTACCCTTACAGCAATGAGTGTTTTATGACATTGAGCAATAGAAACAGCAAGTATGAGAAAGCCATTTATTTAAAAAAAAAATCTAATCATTTCCACATGATTTATTTTAGTAGTCATGCTCCCAGTAGTTTACAAAGTCTCTGTGCTCTGCCATGTCGGAGTCCTCCAAACTGAATGTGTCAGCGTCAAGCGATTTCATCCGAGGCTGACCATCCACATTTCCATCCTTGCTGCTCACGTCAACCTTCCAAGAGTGACTAGAGACGATATTACTGGAAGCTGTTGATAAATCACAAATCTTATTTGAGGAAGAGTAGCTTTGAGCCATTTTTGTCTGAAGATACTGCAAGAGTGTCAAATAATGGATAAGCAGTTTGGACTTGTAATACTGCCTGTACATGACAGCAAAATGCTTCACAAGTTAACTGATGTGCAACAAGAAAATCACATGTAAAACCACTGCATTTCATACTAATGGCTTTTGTAGTGACTTTCTGTAATGTGTAAACAAAAAAGGTGGAACCTTACCCCTGGGCTGTGCTGAGGGGCAAGTTGATTCACAGCAGGTGCACACGGAGTCGTCACCGTAAAGCTCCTTCCACCTAAACCATTAACAGTTTTATTAGGTCTTCAAATGTCAGCTGGCAAGCATGGCGATAAACACACACCGCGGGCAACAGTACTCAAAATACCACCAGCTGTTGATAAAAGCTTAGTTGTTTTGTCAAATCCACATGAAACCTTTCATCCTGCAAGACCTTCAAAAAGCAAGCTACTGCAACCTGTGGGTGTTCACCTTCAGAGACAACTTACTTTTTGGTCGCTGGATCATAATTACAAGCCTTTGAAGACGGAGTTGGAGTAAGTTTCCCCTTTGAGATCTCACAGTGCATGTAGAGTTGCTGAAAGACACTTGATTTCAGTGTAACAGATTCGACACTTTGACAGTACACAGCTCTCAGTTTACTCTCAGTACCTGTGATGAGGAAGAAGGGGAAACCATGTCCTTGAAAATGAGGGCACCCACACTGAACTTCTGGGCCATCTTTGAGGCACCACTGAGGAACTTCGACTGTACTGTCACCTTACCATCAATCATGCAGCTGCAATTGAAGAGCATATGCATGTTAACTTTGAACCAAGTGAAGAGTCCATTTTAATTCTGAACCAATTCAAATCTGACCCTTGGTTGTCAATGGCGGTATATTTAGGACTGGAGTTGGGGTCTTGGTTGGCAGTCATGAAGCACTTGTTGATGTACAACCTCTGATCTCCAGAAGGTGCAGTGTTGTCAGGTTGCTTGGCCTCGAAGTACATTGGCTGGCCCAAGGTGTATGTTTTGGGACCCGTGATTTCATTCCCTGATGCTGAAGCAAAGAGAGAAGTTAGTCACTGGGCAGTTTTAGACAAATTAAGAGGGCTGCCACATATTCACCATTAAATAATTATAAAAAAAAAAAAGAAAAAAAAAAAAAAAAAAAAAAAAAAAAGGGGTGATTGTTAGATGGTTACAAAAATCCAAAGTGAAAATATTTTATCCCTACCAGAGCTCTTAGTCTGTTGTGATGAAACCCTGAGAATGCTTATTATGTGCTTAAGTGTTATTCTTGTATATAGTACACCTTCAAATGCTTAAGAAAGATAACAAATCCTACTATATAGTGACATGAAAAACCAAATAAAAATTGATATTAACTAAAGAGTTTGTCTCCAGCCTTGTATAAACTCTGCAATTCTCTTTTAGCATTAGTTCCAGGTTTAGCTCAAATGAAATCATAGTTTTGTCTTCACCTCATGCACCAAATAATTTGTGGTTTGAAAGAGAAAACATCTGAGAATTCCTCAAAAAAGACTGCTAGTGTTAAGTTTTATTTATTTATTTTATTTTTTAAAAAGGTGAACTAGTTTGTACTAGCTTAGTTTTTCCTGTCATTTGAACCTGCATTTTGACCACCATGTTACATATTTTTAGGATATTGGCCAATATTTATAGTGTTTTCCTAATTGTATCCTCAAGGTACATATCTTAGTTTAAGCAGGTACAACTTAATGGCTTGCTCTTTTTGCCATTCATCTAAGCATACATCTTTCCTTTGCATCCAAACAGCTTGCAGCAAAGGCCTTGTGCTGAAAACACTTTTAAACATTTAAAAAAAAAAAAAAAGTAACGTACCATCTTGAGCAGTGAGGATTAAGTTACTTTTTGGTTGGAGTGCTTTGAAAACTGTTCCTCCTTGTAGTTTGGGATGGAATCCAACTTTATAGGAGTGAAATAACCTGCAACAGCCATGTGAAAACTATGATTACTTCTTTGAGTATGCTAAAATATAAACCCTTAATTTGATAATTACATAAATACTTGTAGGTAATGTGATTTAAAAAACAGCTATGACCTAGACCTAAAACTCAAGCTGACCAACAGTAAAGAGATAGAAAATAAAAAAAAAAGAAAAAAGAAAAAAAAATAGATAAAGTCTTACCTGGGAAAGTTACACTGCAGAGAAACATCGAATGGCATTTCCCTTAAAATGATACCAGCTGGCTTGTAGCGGAGCACATTGCCAATGGACAGATAATCTGCATTACTCTGGAACATAGACATTTCTGCTGGTTTTAGTTTCTCACAGTGAAGCAGAAAATTGTATTGAAAATAGAAAAAAAAATAAAAAAAAATAAAGAAGACACCTTTACCAACCTTTCTGTTGAATCCACAGTCAGTTTTAAGGAGGTACAGAAGGTAATAATGGTCTTTGGTACCTTGGTTAACAGGACAGGTACCTAGTTTCAAGTTTTTATAAGCATCCCTAGTCTTAAAGACCTCTCTTCTAATTCTTACATACATTCTGTCAACGTGACACAGGATTTCGACCAACTTTCGACCAGCTCCTCCTGCTGCTGCTGGTTTTGCAGCAGTGGAAGGACCAAGTAACATTTCCTTGACCCAGCCAGGGAGAGGTCTGGCACCTTTTTCTGGCTTGAAAGCCTCTTTCGGGTACTTAGAGGATAAGACATTCACATACTCAGGAAACTTCTTCGCTTCAGGAGTTGAAGAACCACTACCTGATTCACTCCTCCAGAGTTTGGCTTTAAGTTCAGGTCCTGGCTTCATTTCTTCATCTATAACTGTCTCCATTCTTGCCCACTCTAATTCAGGATCTTGCACAGACAGGCCAGATCCAGCTCCACTTCTAAACTGATAACTATAGGCAGAACTAAACAGCAGTAACAGAAGCCCAGTGTGCATCAACCCCATTTTCACTCTGGCAGCTGTCTCTCACTGAGGCCGACCCGTCACCTGAGCAAGTTGAGTATGATACTGGTGTTTCACTTGGCTTTTGTGATCTGCAATCTAGAGAGACTTCCCACAGCTGCTGCAAATGCCAATTGAGGACAACCAATGAGAGGAGACCAAGAAGAATCAGCTTAACAGGCTATATCTGTCCCTTTATTTGAGGTACACCACTGTGGCTTTGTAAAGTACACTCAGTTGTCAGTTTATTAGGTACACCTAGCTAAAACTAATGCAGTCTATCTTGCAAAAAATCCTTATTCCTGAAGAATAAATGTTCAGTTTTTTGGTTTTAGGTAGGTGTATATCATAATGTGACATTTCCTTATCTACTCCAATTCAATGTAACATAGAAAATAATGTTAAAATGAAATCAATCATTTCAATTTAACCAATAGGTAGAGTTTACATTTATTTTTTCCTCTCCCTGGTCAGGCAGCAACAGGGCATTTCCTCCCAAATTTCAGTCCAACAACCATACAAAGAATAAGGGTGAGAGAATCAAGGTCCATGTACTTTCAGGCAGTTTGATTACACTAATCAATCAAGACATCAATTATCATTATTTTTTAAATATAAATATCAAATAAAGTGAGACATCAATTTATAATAAAGCTTAAATAAAAAAGTGCAAAAGGCATAATTATGTTACGAAAATAATTTTAATATTTCCCAAAGCAGATTAATTATATGAACACATTTCCTATTACTGATAAGATATAAGAGTGTTAATCTATAAATATTAAATCTGACAAATAAAATAAGTGAATTAACAATAAACTGTATTTTTTGGTTCTTGTTATTTTCACAGTATTTTTATGTTCTATAATTACATTTTTTCTTTTATATTTTTTTAAAATCAAAACCGGATGTTGCGCAGCTAATGATGTCAGTACTAGGAAGTACCAACACAGCGCACTTGGCTAGACGTTGTGCTCGGAAGCGGAATATCCCTGTTGGCTTTTTTCATCATAAACAAAGCAAAATGGTTTTATTTTGTTCAGTGGAATATCGTTTCATGTAGCCAAACAGCCTCGTTTTCACTTTATATCCTCTGTTTGTGCTAGAATACGTTATTGTCGTTTGTGTTAGCTGACTAGCTAATAAGCCAGCTAACAGCTAAGGTTGTTTTGATTATTAATGTGAACACCAACGTTGCATCTACGGTGTCTGGACTCGGTTGTCCAGAGCTAATACAAACCGCCGAAAGATCTTTTCCGTATAATCCAGTGGAATGACGAAATTATTTTTTGTCTCCGAAGTAAAGGATACAGTTGATGTAAATCGTGAGATTTACACCAGCTAGCTGGTAACCTAACGTTAACGTCAAACGGCAGTCGCCAAGCTTTCGCTATCTCTGCTGGGGACCCTCTGGTTCGTCCCTTACCCCGAACAGTGGACTTCTGGCGAGCTGAAAAAGCTCTCTGTGAATCGGATCCAATGCGTGGGATGATGGGGACCCAGAGTAGTCCTGTAAAGAGTTACGATTATCTCCTAAAATTTCTTTTGGTGGGAGACAGCGATGTCGGGAAGGGAGAAATATTGGAAAGTTTGCAAGATGGCTCAGTAGAGTCTCCTTACGCCTACAGCAGTGGTGAGTTAATATCTCTGCTTTTGTTCAGTTGTTTAGAAATTACTTAAAGGGGCTAGAATGACCAACATTAACCAACTGTGTGTGGATTGTGTGTAATCACAGGGATTGATTATAAAACCACCACGATTCTGCTGGATGGGAGAAGAGTGAAATTAGAGTTATGGTAAGTGTTTTTATTATCATATAAGTACTGTCTGGCTGCAGTAATAAACACACCCACAGCATATTGATCTACCTGCTTGCTTTAATGTGTTTGTTCAACAGGGACACATCAGGGCAAGGTAGATTCTGCACCATCTTCAGGTCTTACTCTCGTGGAGCACAGGTGAGGACTTGGAGAGCAATTTTGGTGTTTTTCCTTCCTTATCTAATTCTGTGCACTTGTGAACATATTCCACTTTCACCCCACAGGGCATCCTGCTCGTGTATGACATCACTAACGGCTGGTCATTTGATGGCATTGACCGTTGGATTCGGGAAATTGACGAGGTAATCTCCTTCAACCCATTTCTGGTGGACAAAGAATTATAGGAAACACCTGTAGATGAGGGCATATCCTGTGCCACTGTTATTTCAGCTGAGAATGCTCATTGTCTGTTTCTAGCTCTGCCACAGTCTCCGCACCAAAGAGTTGGATATGTAGAATAGCTTTTTTGTAAACGTGATAAAGAAATACATTAAAGTTCTGCAACTATTACAACAGATTTGTTTTTTTCCATCAGCATGCCCCAGGTGTACCCAGAATACTGGTGGGAAACCGACTTCACCTGGCTTTCAAGCGGCAGGTACCAACCGAACAGGCAAGGGCTTATGCAGAGAAGAACAGCATGACTTTCTTCGAGGTCAGTCCGCTCTGCAACTTCAACGTCATTGAATCCTTCACAGAGCTTTCACGCATCGTGCTGATGAGACACGGGATGGAGAAATTTTGGCGGCCCAACAGAGGTGAGCTGGTTAATAATTTTTTCTGTCAGATAAGGAATATGTGTTTTTTTCCTACTGTTTAAAGGGGGGGTCAGTTCTCACCAATGATAGAAAGAAAACTGAGGAAAGTTTAAGTTTTATTTATTTATATATTATATTATTTATATATTTATATTTTGAGATATTTACCTCTAAATCAGAAAACACACTGAATAAATTTTCCCAAAGAGGCGATTCACTGATTACAGATACGATTCAACTGTACAACTTCATCAGGTAATGTTCAGCATGTGATGAAGAAGGTCCACAAATATACTTCACCTCAATCCAGGTGTGGATCCCAGGTTGTGACATTGAGATATCCAACACTGAAATTTCTCCTGCCAATCCGGTGCATCGGATATGAATGGAATTCTATTTGTCCCCATCAGAACATTTCAGAATTAAATTTGAAAAACTCAAAAACATTGTGAATCCCTAGAAACTGTGTAAAAGTCACTATGGACACTGTCAGTAGTCTTCGCTGGTGCTATTTCTTTGGTAGAATGTAACGGCAAGTTAACGCCTTTCACTGGCACTGAATACCAGGACATTGTTTCTAGAAAGACGTACTGCTCTTTTCAGGAATGAAATGTGTACATCTGTTATTTGGTTACAGTTTCAAGGTACTTATTACTTACATGTAATAGTACTGTGCAAGAACATACTGAAAAGTATTGCAGGCATCTCTCATTTGCAGTTCATACTTCATAGTGTATTTTATGCGATTTTGAGTCATAACATCCATCTTCCTTTTTCTTATTTTGTCTTGTTCTACAGTCTTCAGCCTCCAAGATCTGTGCTGCCGTTCGATAGTGTCCTGCACACCGGTGCACCTCATTGACAAACTGCCCCTCCCTGTCGCCATCAAGTCCCACCTCAAGTCTTTCTCTATGGCCAATGGTATGAATGCAGTCATGATGCATGGACGCTCCTACTCGGTGGCCAACAGTGCAGCCTCGGGTGGCAGCGGCGGTGGAAGCAAAGCCAACAGTCTCAAACGCTCAAAGTCCTTCAGGCCTCCACAGAGTCCTCCAAAGAACTCGTCGTCTTCCTCAAAGGGGAACTGTAAGATTTCATAGTGAAGAAGCGGACTAATGGTTGCCTCCATAGGACCAATATTAAAGGTGTTGTTGCTCCGAGAGGTCACGAGGCCAGAGAGGAGCATGGAGAGCTGCCAGCTATCTTCATCAGAAACGGATATAGCTGCAAACTCACATTAACCTATGGGAACTGACATGGATGGCTGGGTTGTTTTCTGTTTTCTTTGCGCTTGCCGGTGCCATCTTGTGGATGTCCATTTACTTGTACTCTTTACTACAGAAGCTCACTGTGATCAAGTAGAACAAGATTTCCCTGGGACCAACAGATGTGAATTTAAGGATTATCACTCACCTGTTAACACTACAAATGAGTGGAGAGACATTAGCTAGCTTTTATGTGGATCAGGATTGTTTATTGGTATTTAAAGTTGACTTGAAGTTGTAAATATCCTGTATGTGCTGTCGTTTTGGTCTGTGTGTAGTGATTGTTCTTGGGGAGGAGCTTCTTGCGCTTGTTTTGTCTTGAATGTTTTGGGAGCTTTGATGCTTTGATGTACAACTTATTTGTGTGTCTTATGCCCTTTGCCTACAGTAGAAAATTCCCTTTACAGCCTCAAGAATACTGAGCTACTTATTTAAAACTCAGATTAGTTCAGTTTTACATAAGACCAGCTTAAATTGAATGTCATGAGCTTGTGGGGCTACTTTCCCAGGTACAATAGTTCTAGACTTAAGAAAAATTCAGATGAGTACTTCTGACAACACTGATAAACACTCTTTAGTCTAGCACTACTTATTCTGTGAAACTGTCCGGCAAAGACAAGCCAAGTTGTCTTGTTTGCAAGACTTTTTGTGGTGCCCCTGAATTTTTAGCCCAAATGAATTCACCCTCCATCTCCATCAGTCATTGGTTCAGACATCTATTGACTGTCTCAGGCCATTTATGCAGCTAAATCTAATGGTCCTAGTTGTATTATTGCCTTAAATGGTTTAAACCATCAACAGCATGATCAATATGAATCTGTTAACGCCTGGGGCAATTAAAAGATTGCTCGGTGCTGATGAGGAAACCTTGTACAAACTCAGATGTACAGCTTGTTTGCTCAATTACGGCGTTTTGCCTTCAGAACCTTCTGCAGTGATGTCTTGGACTGTGTAAACTCACAGGACACTGGTGTGAGGAACATTTTAATTGGATTGATTTTTGGATATTTTATGTATATGCTATGTATTTATGAATGTAAAACAATATTCATCTGCTACCTTTCAGTGGCCCTGTGGTAATATGTGGGACTGTAAGAATCAGAGGTGGAAAGTCACTGAGTACTGTATCTGCTACTGTCATATTTTTATTGAACATTGCTGCTTGTCTGAGTATTTGTACTTTTGCTACTTACAGTCTTACTTAAGTCTTATTTCCCAACCTTCTTCAAATGTGTGTAAAATAATAATAAATGGGGTTATAATGATTGTTTACAGTACTTATTTTTCTGGACACAATGCAAGAGCCATGTAATGTTATAGGAACTTAAAGACACGTTTTTAAATCAGAGCGAACTAATGATACTTTTGTTTTAATAATTGAATAATTTACACACATATATGTGTTCTAATATAAATTCTTAGTCTTCTTTCCACCTCTGATTAACATGTGCTGTATTTCCACTTCAACATTCCCAGTGTCATGGCTGTATGTATGTATTAAGATCAACGAGTGCATAAAAAAATCGGTGCATGTTTCCTACTGGCGCCTGTTTTATGTGGTGTATGGTGTGAGACCAGTACAACAGGCAAACAGAAACTCTTGGGTGAACATTTAAAGCACTATGTGTAACGTTTGATACCGACCGTTGCTATCAGAGCTGTGTGTCCAAAGGTTTGGATACGGGCTGAATTAATTTTGTCTTCATTGAAAACAGTCACCCATCAAAATAAAGGGTAAAACTACAAGGTTTGCTTTGTGTTTTCATCAGCTTGTGAGCTGTGTCGCAATGATTTTTCATTCAAACATTTATCAAGGTCATTGTGCGAATTGTGGGAATATTTTTGTTCCTTTTGTCCAGTCCGGGTCCGCGGGTGCTCAAGTGCAATAAAAGCCGTGGGGGGGCTGCTGAATTGATTAGCTGCTCCCTCGGTATTGGCCAGTTGTGGGTAACCGGCACATCGCTGCAGCGCATGAATGCAGCGCGGTCAAAAGTCACCCAAAGGTTGCAGGGTCACCCTCAATGAAAAGATGAGGGGAGCTGCTTCTCATCGCCTCGGGGCTGCGCTGGGACAAAGATGAGTCGCACACTATTGAAAATGTGGCGCTTTACGTCTTCCCACCTGACCGTGGCATCTCTGAGCTCCGTGTGAATGAGGGACGGTGGTAAATTGACCGATGTCTAGACAAGGAGGACGTAAACACCGTGTTTTGCAAGACGTGATGCGACACGCCTCGTGTTTGGTTTTCACTCTCCCCGCCTTGGGCTGCAGACGACTTTACAATTTACTCTTTGATTTGTGCAAGAAAACCTGTGTTTACATGAGTCTGAACTGCGTAAAAAAACATCTGGAGGAATCTAACTGTAACCGAAGATGGAATTATAACCACCACCACCAACAACAACAACAACAACAGCCCTCTGCAAGAAAACTGCTCATTACCTTATTTATGAACGTCACCCCTATAAATTCTGTCTGGACACATTTAACGTTGGATTTCTCACCGGAATGTTTGGCTCCGTGCGCACGGTTGTTGGGACAGCTTGCCACCACGGCCCCACGTTTTCTTTGATGTTTTTTTTTTTTTCTTTTACAATGTTTGTCCAGTTGCTTAGCGCATGGTGCTGCTTCATAAAAGTTTCAGACACTGAGCGACCATGGGGGCGGTCAGAGGGGCTGCCCTTTCCACCTCCATTCACACTCTGAAAGGCTGATGTTGCGTCTTTCTCTCATTGTGCAGTTCCTCACTCGCTTATTTCGCTGTTCTGGGGAATCGACCTGAATGAGATTTTGTCCATTGTTAAAAGTTTTGTTTTGATGATCAAGGCGGATGTTTTATGCTGCCCAGTTGCTTTAAAAAACTTATTCCTGGGATATATTTTGGTCACTTAATGGGAACTCGCGCTGACCAGTGGGAATACTGCAACTTTTTTCTCTGCGCACAGCGAACTGACTCTTATATTTACGCACAAAACGGATGACTACCTTTGAAAATCAACAATAGTCTTCTTGCTTTTTAACAAAACCTAAAGGAGGAATGGAATTACTCGATGTTCGACTCATGCAAACGGGCAACCATGTATAAAATCCCTCCCCAGTTCTTGGAGGACAGACGTATAAAGGATACACATTGGCACAATGCACCCTACTCACATAAAGTTGGATTAAGGCGGATATGTGCGTATTTGTTGATACTCCTGGTTTGCGAACTACCCGGACTTTCTTTGTGTGCAAGTGTGGCAGGATCCAAAGTTGCACACGAAGGACTTTGTCCAAACAAGCTGAATTCCAACCTCTGGGTTGATGCGCAAAGCACCTGCGAGAGGGAATGCAACGTCGATGAGGTGATGTCATTTATGTTAGAAAATGATCAGAATAATCAAACGTGTGTATTATTCAGGTAATTGTGTGTTTTGTCTATTTTAATTTGCTTTCATAACTGCTGTTGTTTTACGTTGTGTGTGTGCAGGACTGTGCAGACTTTGAGAAATGCTGCACCAACGTGTGTGGTCTCAACAGCTGTGTGGCAGCACGTTTCTCTGACGGCACGTCTGCACAGCCAGGTGGGCTGGGTGGAGAAGGAGACGACGGCCCCACCTCCACCGCAACCTGTGAGGGCTTTATCTGCAGCCAGCAAGGAGCAACCTGTGACATTTGGGATGGGCAGCCCATCTGCAAGTGCCAGGACCGATGTGAGAAAGAGCCTAACTTCACCTGTGCTTCAGATGGCCTCACCTATTTCAACCGCTGCTACATGGATGCAGAGGCCTGCATCCGTGGGGTGAGTTTAACTGTGGTCACCTGTCGTTTCTACCTCGCCGGGCCCCACACCAGTCCACTGCCTCAGGACACTACCGCTAATCCCACCCCGACATCCTCCCAGGAGGACCCCATGCCCCCCACACTGTACTCCAACCCTCACCATCAGTCCATCTACGTCGGAGGCACAGTCAGCTTCCACTGTGACGTCATTGGAGTCCCGAGACCTGATGTAACATGGGAGAAACAGAGTGAACGGCGAGAACGGCTGGTCATGAGGCCTGACCAGATGTATGGCAACGTTGTCATCACCAACATCGGACAGCTAGTCATCTACAACGCCCAGGTGTGGGATACAGGTATCTACACCTGCATCGCACGCAATTCTGCAGGAGTTCTTCATGCAGAATACCCTCTGTCTGTCATCCGCCGAGCTGATGATGATTTCTCTGAAGATCCTGAGATGCCCATGGGGAGACCGTTCTCACCAGCTGACTGCCTGGCTGAGGTGGACAGCAGGGTGTGCAGCGGAGAGCGCCACGTGGACTGGTATTATGATAGCAAGCTGGGCACCTGCATGGCCTTCAGCAACGGTGGGTGTGACGACAGTCGCAACCGGTTTGAGACTTACGAGGAGTGCAAGGCCTCCTGTCAGAGAGAGGGGATGGGCATCTGCTCCCTGCCTGCTGTTCAGGGCCCCTGCAAATCTTGGGAGGCGCGTTGGGCCTGGAACTCCCTCATGAAACAGTGCCAAGCCTTCGCCTATGGTGGCTGCCATGGGAACGCCAACAGCTTCCACACCAAAAAGGAGTGTGAAGCAAACTGCCCACAACCCAAAAGGAAACCTTGTAAGACCTGTCGGGTGAAGGGGAAACTGGTACCCAGCTTATGCCGCAGTGACTTTGCCATTGTGGGGCGGCTGACGGAGCTGGTGGAGGATCTGGACTCTGGGTTAGCCCGCTTTAGCTTGGAAGAGGTCCTGAGAGATGAAAAGATGGGACTGACTTTCTTCAACACCAAACATCTGGAAGTGACCATCGCCAAGATCGACTGGAGCTGCCCCTGCCCCAACATCACCATGGAGGAAAACCCTCTGCTGGTGATGGGTGTGGTGCAGGATGGCATGGCCATCATCCAATCAGACAGCTATGTCAGAGCCATAACTGAACGCAGACTCAAGAAGCTCCGTGAGGTTCTGGACAAGAAGACATGCGAGGCATCTAAAACTCCCAAGACTTAGACTTGTTTTCCCACAGAGTTTCTGTGGTCACCTTTACTTTTAGCACTGAAGATAAGCATCAGAAATGCAACAAGAAAAGCTGATATTTAATAACAACCCTTTAAATCAAAAGACAAAAATATGTTAAATACTGTATGTTAATGAAGTTGTGAGAGATCCTTTTGTATGTACAATATATATTCATTACAACACAGGTTGTACTACATTCCAGATGTGTTGTGAGCCCATTTACACCAATGCTGAAATGCTCTTTTTTAAATAAGTTGAAATATAGATCTTCTTTCTTTTGACATGTATTCTGTATGTTTGTATTGTGAAAAATAAGACTGTAGCCAGAATAGCAGCCACACAAATCGATCAGAAACAGCTAGCTTGTGACATGAAAGAAATAGACGCCTACAGTATATGACATCTATATTGTTTTTCTGTTTTATTGTATTATATTTGTTTGTATCAGGCTCTTTCTATTAGTTATTTACATAGATGTTTTATATAGATCCCCTCATGTTATCATGTATACTTTCAAGATCTAATGTGCAGCACATTCTCTATTACATCTCTCTGCAAAGCACTTCTGCTAACTTAGTTTTACTGACAGTCTCTGCAAAGTGAATGAAGAAATGAAAAAGTAGGTAGGTGGCTGACTTAAGTTAAATGTAGTACACAACCAATGTATCTGTGAGCCTTATTCATTTTACTCAAGTGTGCAATATAGTGTATCATAGTGTATCATCGTAACAGTTCAGATCAAATGATTTTTATCTAAAGTCAGTGTTTATGAGAACATGGAGAAACATGATTCATTTACAGCTCTGGAAAATTTGTCAATGTGTCTGAACTTCAAGTCTAGGTTAAGGCGCTTTGACCATCCTGCTCCAAACATGGTCTCCTTTCAGAAAACGGAACAACAGGATACTTCACACCAAACTCTCCTTCCTGAACAGAAGACACTTGTTGTTTGCTGGCATGTCCACCTTGGAGAGAAAATATATAAATCATACGTTAGTAAACCAGCAATCCCATAACTGCATTGTTTATGTTCTCAGCTTTTACGTATCAAAGAAAAGAACTGTGTTGGATGCTTCAATCAGCTGTTTACTTACTATCTTCTCCAGGAATAAACCGTTTCTTTGTGCTAAAGAGCTCAGGAGGGAGATATCTCTGAGTCCCCACTTTGGATTCCTGCATGATTAAAAAAAAAAAATACAGCTTTTAAATATACCCACAGTAGATATATAGTGTATCTGTCTCTTATACAAAGCAAACAGATGCTACTGCATGTTTGATCTGATGAGGAATTAACATCTGAGCAAAATTCATAGTTCCAAGTATTCAAGATTCCTTTCAATTTTCTTTATTATCTTTAATTTCCATAAAGCCTTGAAAGATTCATTAAACATGGAGCAGGTTACCTCTGCCGTAGGCTGTAGTCAAAGTCAACATTGCTCTGTGGGGTGATCTGACCATTCACTGCATAGGGCTGAGGGTACAGCAACAACAAAATATGTCATGTAGCATTTATTGTTACACTCGCATGTTTACTTCTCATAGTAGCGTGTGATGAATGTGGTAAGTGCATCTTTGTGACACAAAATATCTTTTCACTCACCCCGTATGTGAATAGAAGACCTTGCGGCTTCAACACCGCCCCGGCCCCTTTGAATAAACCCTAGAAGAAAATAGCAACGTCTTCAGGCACAAGCATCGCATCAGGAAGGGCAACAACTGAAGCCTTTTTGTTGTTGGTCTCTTTCACAGATTGGATGACCTAAGGCAGATATTGTAAATGGGATATTGCTTACAGTAATTTGTCTGAGGAGTTAGGAGTCGAAATGATTGTAGTGTATAAACACTGGGGCACATAATCAACAGTATTTATACTTTATGGAACCTGAACACCAGGACCAGTCAATAGAAAAACTTAACGCTACACTATGTAAATTTTTAGGCAAAAGAAGAAATAACAATTCTTCTCTTACAAATGAAAATTTGATTTCACAAGGAATTAAATACACTCCTGCTCAAATCAGTACACTCAGAATTTGCTGCTACAGCTTTACTTGGCCTGGTATGAACAATAGTTGACAACTGCTGATGTTTGCTAATTTAAGTTAGATATTGCTGCGTAACTGAGATTCTTGAGTCTTCTACATTAACCTTTCACTTGTACCTGCCACTTGTGGCCACAGTGGGTGCTGTTCAGCAGAAGTTACAAAGAGGTGCTTTAAGTAAAGAAGCGAAGTCTGGGTTAACCCACTGTGTGGGCTCTTGGGGAGAAATGAGCTGAGGGCCCCTTGTTTATAATTGGTTTGCAATAAGTTGATTTAACTTGTTTAGTTTGTTTCGAAATATGCACCATCTTGGCACAATATACACTAAAATACTTAAGTCCTTAAACTAGAGCTGATGTCAGGGAACCTCAGGGCCACGTAGGGTTTGAGATTAGATAATGATGCAGGTGTTGAAAAGGCCTTCAACACCTCAGTTTATGTTGTGCTTTAGGTGCATTCATTATAACCAAACAGATGTGCAATTTATCAAAATACCACAAACGAACAGGTAGGTTAGGTCTCTGCCTAGATAAGACCAATCACAGCAGTTTGTGCACACAGGCCTCCTACCTCTGTACAAGCCATTGGAGAAATGTGGATCATGTTGATGTTGACTACCAGGTCGAGGCTCTCTGCCTGTACCCCCCCCCAGTATTGATGGGGCAGAGAAGCATCCAGGTGGATGGCGGGCTTCACATTGCTCAGCTGGTAGCGAGCTCTGTACGCTTCTATACTGAGAATGGAAACAAAAGACATTATTGTTAATGCACGCTCCCTCCAACAAAACATTTACCAGCACAGTCTGCCTGCAGATGTTCTGCATCAGTGCTATAAGTAATATTTGGCATTTAGTTGTCCTTCTTTAAAATTTCATACGGTAATACCCGAGTCCAATGGCTAATGTCAAGTTTATTACGCAGAAATGAATTAATACCGTAAATACTCGAGTTTGTAAGCAGGTACACCAGGAATATAAACAGTTGCTAACTGACTCAAACAACCTGCGTTTACCTGTCTAGAGACTGGTGGTCATACTCTGAAGGCTGCCAGGTTATATTCCGCAGGGCCTGAGCGAAGTGTGTGACGTGCTGCCCGGTACCGGAGGAGATCTCCAGAGCCTGCAGGGGTCTCCCGGTGTTCACGGTCTCCCGGAGCACCACCAGTATGGGCTCCTTGTTCCTCTCCGCGGCGGCGGCGCTCAGCATCTTGCCAAACCCCGGGTATAACTGTCGACTTGTACGGTACAGCTTATGCAACCACTGCAGCAGACCTAAATAACGTTGCTCCAGATTGACTAACTCAACGACACCCACGAATGTTTTGTTTTTCCTCTGAAAATGGTCAACTTCCTCGTTTGCTCACGTGACTGATCTCACGTCCAATAGGATCAGTGGGCGGGCACAAGCGCACCGCACGGTTATAAAAGGATGACAATGCAAATACATCTTTTACACAGAGGGTTTCTTTATTTAAGGGAAAAATAGCATTCAGGAGCACATCCTATTTTTTTTTACAAGATTTACACATTTTGTCACATATCAACATTTCCCCGCAGACTTCAATCCAAAATCTAAGGGACACAGAAAGCAACTTAAAATAAGTTAAAGGGTATAAATAAAATGTTTTGGCAAACACAGCTACACATAACACAGGATTGGCAGTGTGGTAAATAAAGGTAAACACGCTTGAGTCACAACACCAATCTACTTATTGATGGGCAAAACAGAATATCTCATATTTTAGTATATTATACAGAACCTGTGCAAAATCTGAACAGAAACACAATACTGTGAATTTCTGAAACGTCTTTCACTCAGGAATACTGTATATAAAGTAAAAGCTGGTAATGTTACTAAAGCAGTGTGACAGAAAACTGAACCAAAAGCACCTAAACATCTTTTTATTCAACACAACTTTTAGGATAAGTGTATAATCAGATAGTCAGTGGAATACAATTCAATTACAGTGACTTCAATTGTGTGCTTCAGTTCACGTGATAAAACGGGGCCTTGCTGCCACTTGCTGTGTTCAATGATGTGACAGCTTCCTTCATGCAATTGTGAGCGGCTTGTCCTTCTCTTCCAGCCCAGCTGCATGTTCTGCATTTTGACTCTGCTCATTATCCATGTTGAGCAGTGTCTGTGTTGTGTTATGAGAGGACTCCTGGCTCTCAGCTGGACAGTTTTGCACCAGAGATGGATTCAGACAGAGGAAGCTCTGGTTGTTGTCAAGTGCATCTAGACTTGTCTTGGTCGTGACCACAGAATCACTGAAGATCGTGTTTGAGAAGACCGAGCTGAAAGTGAACGAGGAGCCGCAAAGTGACTCCTGCACGAGGGACTTGGGGCGATCTGCAGGAACAACAACTGCTGGGTCTCTGGGAGGTTTAACTGGAGGAACTGGCTCAGACTCACTGTTTTTAGTGTCTGCGTCTGGTTGTTTATTCTTACTCACTGTTTCCTCCTGATTGTTGCTATCTTCTGACGCCTGGGCTTGGAGAGAGTCAGTCTTGAGATTTACCCTGCAGTCGCTGTTGACACTGGAGCGCCGCGATGAGCCCTCTGCTGTAGAAATGACACTGCTGGCACGGGGGAGACTATTAGGAGACCTAGGCTCTCTCAGTCGCCCCTCTTTCCCCAGAGGGGTGGAGAAGCAGTTGAGGCAGCCAGACATCGAGGACGACTTCCCCTGAACATACAACACTGTAATCGGTGAACAAGCTGAGGCTCGGGTGGTGTCAGCTTTGCTTGAGCTCAATTTAGAATTCATCCCAGTGAGCCCTGGCTTTATTTTGACAGTGCCCCCTGAATCTGATGAGCGACGTGCCACTTTCCCTTGGGACCCCCTTCGGATGCTCTTTGTCCCCCTTGTGAGCCAGAAATCCTGAGAGAGCCCTAGATCTTTCTGTTTTGGTAAAGACTGGAGATCTGAATTCTGCCTGTTGGTATTGGGCATGGTAGAAGCTTTCACCTTGTGTTGGGGGGTGGAAGCATCGCTGGGTGGCTGGTAGGAGGAGGAGGAACGGCGTGATGGGGGCTGCTGGATGGGGCTGCTGCCGTTTGACCACGGCTCATTCTCCAGACTCAGGCTGAACTCACCGCTGCTCTCACTGTGGGCTCGACTCTGGATGCCATTCAGAGCTGGAAGGAGATTATGATGTTTTTTGAAAGAGCTACAGTACAATATACATACACACACACACACACACACATTTTCACCTCTGTCATGAAAACATCAGTCAGCTGCATCAGCATAATATTGTTCATCCCCAGCAGGGGGCAGCAGAGTCAATTTTTGCAACAGTTGTTGGCCTCTGTGCTCAGCATAGAGATTAATATAAAACAAGGTCATGATTGCGATTTGATGGATTTACTCTAATTCCTGAGCTGGTAATACATCTGTATGCTCGCTGAATCCTCTAAATGAGTATCAACAGAGCTTTACCGTGATTTTGCAGCTCGTTGTTGTCCTCATATCCAAATGGCACAGTGTTGTCATTTGAATCCTTGTCTGTGGAGCAAAAAATGTGAAATAACAGTTCGAACACTTAAAACGAGAAAAGCACACGAGTTTCACATTTGCTCTCCTCTCCTCTACACTTTGCTCTAACACCTAACTAATGAAGATGCCGTCAAAAAAAAACAGTGGTGCGTTGATGCCTCTACCTGTCACCCACAGCTCAGAAACATCCGGAACATTGTCTGTGGTGTCAGTGGTGTCAGTGGCAGCGATGTGGAGACGGCCTGATGGTGGAGTAGGGAGATGATGAAGGTGGAGAATGGATAAGATGGAGGTGGTGAGGGATGAGGTCAGTGCGTCCTTCCTGTCCTCCTCCACATCAGCCTCTGACCCTTCCAGCTGCTCTGAGCTGTCTGCCCACCGGGCCAAGGGAGAGGCCAAGCTGCCCAGGGCTGCGTTGTTGGAGCGAGGAATGGAAGAAATGGGGGTTGGATGAGGGAGGTGGTAGACAGGTGAACCGGTAATGGAAGTTATGAGGTATTACTTTTATGGTGTTGACAACATGGAGATGTAGATGTCTTGCTTTCTCCACAGACCATATAATAATCTAAAATTCTTGATTTATACTGTATATATATATATATATATATATATGTATATATATGTATATATATAGTACAGCTTGCTCCTGGTGGGGCAGAGCTCATGCAGCATCACTGTCCTCCTGCAATGCAGTATTTCTGTGACCTCCATTGTTCTAACAAAAAATACCCCAGACTGTCTCCAAATATAACCACTCTCATAGAAAGGTAATGTGATGATATTTAAATTGTAAAATCATAAAAATATTGTATAATAGTTAATGTGGTGAATGAGGTTGTCATGGATGGACACATTACTAACATATCTGTATGTACGGCTGATGATGACTCCTACTCAAGCCAGTGTTACATTAGTATCATGGCATGTGATAGATGATAACAAAGCATAGACACTCCAGTATAATAAAAGTTAGGAGTTAAATAAAAGGCTACAGAGCACTGGACACCAGGCCTTCTTACACATGGATCGACGAAAGATACTTGACTTTGTTCTCTGTCCTTCAGCCTGTTCTCATACGGGGAAACATTTTCAGTGTGGCTTTTTCACGGCAAGTACGGCCACATGAGAGGTCGACGGAGAGGATGGAGGTGAGCAAGCAGAAAGAGAGGAAAGTGAGGGAGGATGAGGATAGGAAGGGAAGGAAAAGACAAGGGAAGGGAGGAATCAGGAGTATGGAGGGCGTGAAGAAATACATACACACAAGTGAAAGACACAGGGAAGACATTAAGGACTGTTGAGGAAAGTTTACACACGTCATGCATCAGGAAGAATGACAGTTTGGACATGACACACACAAACATGTGTTTGATTTTAAACACACTGAATACAATGCAACACTTCCATTATTTCACATAATGATTTGCAGACTGACTTGACCTTCACTAGGAACTGTTGAATTATCAAGATTTAAGTTTATTATTAAGATTTAAGTGTTTTATAGAAAGTTTAATTAACAGTTTTTGCTATTCATATTCCAGCTTTTGTTAACTTAACACACTTACTGTGTGAAGATCTTACAACTATGACAACAGTGCTGAAACAGGGTTACTTTAAATACATTTATTTGAGCTTTCACGTCTCCTTGAAAAATGCGGTGGAGGGGGTAGTTTTGTCAAATTTTTGGGAAGATGGTTTGTCCTTCAAATGAAGCTACAGATGTGGATGAAACTGCCGCGTCTATGAGTTCACCCATGTCTCTCTGTCTTGCTGTCTGCAGGCTGACCTCACATGAACAACACTCCTGAATGATCTTTGTGCCCTGCCTCAGATGATCTTACTTCGTGGTCTATTGCTGAAGCAGTGAAGGGGGGACTTTGGTACTCTGATGAGGTCGGTTCTGCAAGTCAATGGGAGATGTGATCTGGTGAATTCATGAAGGTTATACTCACTATTGTTACGCTGGGGTGAGATGGCATCACCTGCTGAGGTGGAGGCTGAGCTCCAGAGCCCATCTGAGCTGAGAAAGGAACCGTTGTCATGAGAGGAGAGGTGTGGATCAGTAACACCTGAGTGCTTGGTGTGGAAGGATCGCTCCGGTCCATGCTCACTGGCTGCTGGATTTTCATCAACTTCTTCAGTTTCAGAGTTATCCGTTTCCACGTCTGTGGAGGAATGAAAAACCATACTGAGTGAGACATGAACAACAGGTACAGTAGGACCAGGCTGGTCTGCAATGGACTGCTACACATAGCAAATAATTATTTTTGTATGTTAAGAGGGGTTGCTTCGTAAATGATTATTATCTATCTCTGTGATTACTCTAAGCTTCTTGGAGCGTTTTAGCATCTGACAGCTCATTGTATTGGTTTTACGCCCTGCAACTTTACTGTTTTGGATTCGCTCTGCTCGATGCGTAAATAAACAACTGCTTGCTAACAATGTGGTTTCAAAATGCAGTCTGCTAGCCAGTTAGCACATCCTGATATACAACAGATGGAGAAAATGTATTAACGTTTTCATAATGGTGTATATGAAGTGTAGATCATGTGTGAACTGAAATTATATAACTTTATATTATATAAACGACTATAGAGGTCAAAATGTAGAAACTCGCTAAAATGTGTAAAAGAAGAATTTCACCGCCGCACAGTTAATTCACAGTCTAGTTATGTTCATTAGCAAGTAGTTAGTCATATACTCCTGGTAAAAAAATTGTGTTAACCGTCTTAACAGACTTACTTATGAAAGAGGCAAGGGCTCATAAAACTTGTACTGGTCCATTATCTTTTCCCTCCAGCTTCTCTTCTCTGCTCCTCAATCATTAAGGCTTGTCACTGAACAGAGACGTGCAGAGAGAAAAATGAGATGATCAATTATAAAGTTGGCCTTGTGTGAGTACTGGTGGTATTTTAGGTGTCCATAAATAGTGTAAGTTCCTTCTGTCCTGCACGTATCAAAAACTGGGCCTTAATGTGTTAAGCTCATTAACAAGTAGCCTAACACTGAAAGTTAACAACAACAGTTCAAACTCTATTTAATGCTACATTATCTATTTGTCATGGTGTGGCCCAATTTTCCTTACATATACTGCCGCTCTTCAAGATGAAACAGATCCTTGCTCTCCATAGTCTGCTCAACAGCGTTCGGTTTCTGTAGCATCAGGGGTCTCGATCTGGCTGAGCAAGTGGCGATTCTTCTTCTCCAGGTTTCCCTTATACTGGCTCAGCAGCTAAACTATACATAGACAAACACGCAGTAAACGTAATATATACACAAAACACACACAAATACAGTTGAGGCATTGAGGCAGTTCACCACCGCAGCGTCACGCTGCTGCGTACCTGCATGTTGTTGAGTTTTGTGGAGGTGATGTAAGCTGCTGAAACTCCTTCTTGAAGTTTGGAGAAGTCGGCTTCCAGCCAGGTGTGGTTCCCAGCTGGCCTCAATTCAGCTGGCTCTGAGTTGACCTTGTGATCTGCCGTCAGCGTCTCGTTGTCGTTAAGAAGCTGATGGTAAGTCTGGTTCCAGACCTAAAAAAATAACCAGCAATGATATCGAGCGGATCTACCTCCTAACAATGGCCCAACTGTTTAGGCCTCGAGTTTTACAAGTGCATACGCGTATGTAGTTGATCGGTCACTCGATGCGATTGGAAACGCAACGGCTTAGGTGCAATCGATGCAGGATATTAAAATCCAATTGGTAGAGCCTTAGCCAAACAAGACTGAGGAGCTGGAGTCGGATAATGGAGCGCCAGCATATGACTGCGGATGCTGTTGCATGCCAGGCCATTGACGGAGTGTATGTCGTCATCTGAGTTTGCGACAGCGTGCCAGAATATGGCCCTGCGTTCGGTGCATGATAGACCTAGAGATGATGGGCCTGAAACTGGATCCCGCGAACGGCCCGTGTAAAGGTACGGGTGGATGGTTCAGGTGTAGGGAAGTGGGCTGCATTGGTGCCTTTTGTTATTGGTGAAACGGGTGAAGAGGGAAGCGATGTGAACACGCAAGACCCCGTGAGCGTATCGTCCTTGTAAGTCCGATAAGGTAAAGGTGTTCGATATGTGAGTGGTCCCATGTAATTATGGGTGTGGTGAGGGTGATTGCCTCCTCCCTCTCACCAGTCTCTGTGTAGCTCAATGGGCACGGAGCCTGCAAACATCAGCCGCGCGTTGTCTTGTGCTGTTTCTTTCTCCAGAGCCCATCCTCATGCTCCTGTCTGCTCTCAGGGCTTCCTCTCACATGGTCGTACGCTAGCTTGGGGGCCCTCTGCGTGGGCGAGGAGGATTGTATCTGAAATGCCCCCAATACAGACAGAACAAATCACATGAAATACGGACTCTCGTGTCCCATGTGTTGACAATTCATCGATAGTGCCCTCCTCTCCCCCCACCTGTCCTGCAGGGTGCGATGCTCCAGCTCCAGTGTGGCGGTGAGCGTTTTTTCAGAGCAGCCATGTTCTGCCCATCAGGGCCTCATACTCCATGGCCTTGCCCGCTCATAGCAGAGTGCAGCCGCTCGTGATTCGAAAAGCTGCTCGCGTGGACACTGGCGCAGGTCTTCACGTTCCCGCAAGGGCTGTCCGCTCACGTTTCTCTGTCCCCGTCTCCTGCTGTTCTCAACTGAGGCATTCTGGGCCATGAGCGAGGCGCTCCTTGGCGAGTTCAGCGTAGATTTCTCCACCTGGAGAAGGAGGAGAAGTTGATTCGGTCCGGTCATTTATAAGACTATTTGGGAAATATTTGTGAGCTATTATGTTAAGCATACTATGGAAGAATACTAATGTATTGTAATGGTCTGCAGGTTAGCGTTGTTGGTGTCTGCAAGGGCTGTGGTTGTTCTCCTGCAGTGCAGGCAGCCTGCCTTTGCAGGCGCGCCAAAGGATCTGAGCCGCTGGCTGTCACAGAACTGACTCTCTAACTGCCTTCAGCTGGGCTGCATAGCCATGGGCGCTCTGCCTCAATGTCGCATTTGGAGAGGAAAGGAGAGGAGGAGGAGCCGATTTGACCTTGTTAACAAAACTCTATGTAGTTTGTTATACACTTAGAGGCCGAGCCTTTTTGGTTACGCATACATTTAGCATATGCAGGGACCTCAAGCTTACATTCACGACTCCACTTCACATTGAAGACGTCTTGACTCAGCAAGTATCCTTGTGGGCGTGTGTCAACTGTCAGGCCATTCACGTCATTGATTGCCAGTCTCAGTCGGAGGGGTGGGGCTTTGATGCGTGATGTGTGCCTCTCGACGTGGCTCGTGCGCCCTCTGCTTGCATGAGCGCATCGTAGCTAGCTTCAACCTGTATGAAAAGTGCCGGGGTCAAAAAGCGACGGTCTGTGGATCAAATTCTGTAAATAAGTATGATGAATATGAATTGTTGAAAAGTTTTTTTTTTTTTAAGACGCACTGTGCCAGGTCCCTCAAGATCTTGCACAGTGCTTCTGCGAGGTTCGATGGCGTAGGACTCTGTGTTAGTGGGTGGAGGGACTTCCTTGTTATGTGAGAGGCTCCAGAGCGGCGCTCTGCAGCTTGTCGCTCTTATACATTTGCGAGCTATGTTATGTGAGAGAGGGCGACATGATGCTAAGTCGAAACTTTGAGGTTTATCCGCGTAAGGCCACCGACATCCAGGGCGGTTCTGACTCCAGCATCTTGAATCTGCTGCATGGAGGAAATATTCTAATTTATACTCACTTCTCATTGGTTATCAATGTTTCCTTCAACGGCGACAGGATGGCAGGATAAAATGCTGAGCAGTACTGTAAGCACCTTGTCGTCGCGGTTGTCTCTTGGTTTCAGCCTGCTGTTGGCACTTCCTGACTCAGGACCTATCATCTCCAGCTCATGTGTCAGCCTCTCCAGTTTGCGTTGTGCTCTCTGCTTGCATCTTCAGCTTCTCGCTCCACAGTCTACCGTATGTATGTGTGTATATGTTTGCTATCAATAAGTTTTTACTAACATTCATTTTGCTGGGATTGTATCATTTATTTGCATTTTTTGATTATTTTTTTGGATTTTGGTCATACAGAGCCATTTCATTTGAGGTGTGTATTAAGAGAAGAAGAATTCCGTTTGTTGGCGTCACATCCGCTTCAGATCAGTATTACGACATAAAGCTGAATATGTCAAGACGATGTCAGGCACAAATAGAAGAGAGGAAGCTGTTTCAACGTTACGATGTCAAAGTAGATTAGGAGGAGACTAAGAGAAAACACGCATTGTATGGTTATGTTTAACCCTGCTCTTAAATAAATGCATGTTGTAGTCGGCTTTTATGGTCCAGATACTTGTGTTGCGGTACACAGGTGAATTGTGTATTGGTTATGTGTGACGCAACACATGCACGCTAATTGGCTGTAAAATCCTAGGCAAACCAGAGCATGGCAGCGAATGTCTCCCTCACCTCTCTGAGGGTGGCCAGAGTCTCTCTGGTCGGACTAGCAGCTTGCTTGCTCGCGGAGGGAGGCGATTCTGTTGTCTGCTCTCCCAGCCTTTGACTCTCTTCAGCAGTCTCTCTTAACCCCTCCACCTCCTTTAAACTAGAAAACAGCATCTCCCTCTCCAGGCCGGCCATGCAACATAACTCTGTCCTAAAGTTGGGCATCCTGGATTTCAGCCTTCGAGACGGAAGGAAAAGTAGTGAGTTTATTCGATAGGCAATGTGAGTCTGACAAACATTATCCTAACTTAGATCGAAGCAACCTGACCACCCTTGTTCCCTAGAAAACACCTGCTGGCGGGAGTCGTCGATTCTCCTTCTCGGTGAGCTGCCTCTTGTCTCTCTCCAGCGCTGGTAGTCCTCTTGCGTTCGGCTCGTGCTTCTCTGTTCCAGCGCTCCAGGCGTCTCGCGGCCGATCCCGAAAGTTCCTCTAAAGTGGCCTGCAGACTCTGGTTCTCTGCCTCCAGCTCCTGAACCCCGCCTCCAGAACGCTGAATTTTCCGCTCAGTCCACGCCGAATTGGAGGGGTAGGTGACAGAAATAAATTCATTAGTAACTGTTTATCAAATTCCGAATCTTTAAAACTTTTATTTTGATCTATCAGTTCTTACCAGAGTTGTCAAGAAGAGCCTGTAGATGCTGAATTAACGTGTCCAGGGCCGTTGCACTTGGCCTCCACCAGCGAGATGTGTGTGCTTGCTGGCCATACGGAAGGAACGTGCTGGCAGACCTGTGAAGAGTGCTGTTCGCAGCCAAGGGGAGTGATCACATATGTGTGTGATCCAACAAAACACATGGAGCTATTGTGACGGCGTTTCTAAAACTTCCAGATCCGACATTAGTTCTTATGTAGATGTTCGCTTTTGTCTCCGTCCTCTAGCTGTCCTTTCTCTTGAATTGAAGGTCTGATTGTCTGTGAGGAGTATTCTACTCTGCGATCCTCGGATTCTCTCTCTGTGTGCAGTCGCCCGATGGAGTTTAAATCTCCATTCAGGCATCTGCTTGGTACTTGTACTGAGTGGGAATGCGATTACTCTGGTGGTTTTTCTGTATTGAGCAGGAGGTTTTGTAACCCTGAGGGCTCGGCCTGTTTAGATGAGGTCCAGTTGTTGATGGCTGCTGACCACTCTGGCAGGACCAGCTTTAACGCTCATGGTGGTGGCTCGTGTTTGGGCTGTGTGCTGTCTGGCTAAATAGACGACTCGCTCTGAGTGTCCTCTATGGTAGCCAGGAGACTGTTGGTATTCTCCTTCTCCAGCTTCAGCATCGAGGTCTGCGTGTCCGCTCAAGCTCACCTCCTCACGTCAGAGTCGTGTGGAACCTTTAAACACAAACACGACCTTAACTTCTGTATTAGTACTCAAGACCAGCTCTGTGTGGGGAGCTAAACTGGCTGCCTCACTTACGTAACAACTGCATATCAAATACATTAAAATGTAACTTTTTTGACCTAGGTTCTGGGTCTTTTAACTTAAGGATTAGATAAAAATATCTAATTAGATGGAAGCAATCATGCATGTGCAAACTTACATAAATTTACAATACCATCTCCTGATCCTACTCAACCTATCCCATTCATTAACATGAAGAGTGTTCGTCACTTCACCTTAACACCCAGTTTCTTTACCGATGTTCTAGATGGCTGAGGTGTTCTCGACCGTGGCTCTTAGGAGACGCTCTGCTCTACTCCCAGCCCAGGATTGAGACTCCTCGCATGCTCCTACTTTGTAGCGCAAAACACAGCGTCAGGTTTCCTCTCACTCCTGCAACTCCTCAACAGACACAACGCAATACGCTCAACTCTCCACGGCTCCTAAAGTGAAGATACGAAGTTGAACACTCCGAAATTGGTTATCTAATAGCGACCAGATTCCTGTCGGCAGTCTGAAGAGTGCATGGGCTTAGGATTCATATGAGTGTTGAGCTCTAGGCTTTATTTTTGTGAATTATATTATCCCTATCACACCGTTGGTTCACTGATTCCTGTTAGACGACCGTGCTGTAGGATATGACAGCCATAAAACTGAGAAGACGTCAGCGTCGTTGGGCCAGGTGGCCGCGTCGTGGCTGTTGCTAGTTGATCGGTGTGAGAAGCATAGGGCATAAGTGGTCCCGGTAGACGAACGCGGTTAGGATTAGGAAGTGTTCCGTCGAGGAGCCTCAGACATGTCATGTGTATAGATCAGGCATAAGTGTTCGAAAGCCGTTGGCTGTCGGCGTCTCTGTTACCACACAAGTCGTGCCTGAGATGCTGGGATACTCCAGCGTGGTTAGTAGTATGCTTATCACGGCCGTGAATCTCCTGGCACCTGCACCGATTTCCGAGTCTATTGGTTATCAATGTGTTGGAAAAGGGCTTAAACAGGCTTATCACGGAAAAGGTTAACAAAGGAATCAGAGGGCATTTGATCAACAACCTTGTGTGCGTGCAGATGTCTGACCTGTTCCATGGTCATGGATCTGTGCCTTCAGCTCAGACCTGGTAGCTTCTCCGCACAGCGCTTGGTGGACTTTATCTGGAGCGTTGCCTTGGTCAGTCATCCACGCGGCGGACCGTCGGCCTCTCGGCCGCCGCCGGGTACTGCAGCCTTTGCCACTGATCTTCCCACACTACCTCTTTGTCTCCTGTAGCACCTCTGTATCACTGCAGAAGTAAGAACAGATGCGGCTATCAGCATGCCTTGGGTCCCCCGGGTGTCCAGCTTCTGTCCGAAGACTACAGTGCTGTCTGGCAAATACAACACACAAAAAGCACCATCAGATTTTTTTATATTTTTTTTTTTTACCTTACCTTCCAACATGTACTCAAAATGGGTCTCAGTTTTCTCATCCTTCACCGTGTTCATAGGTCCATATCTAATATATCAAATGAATACACGCTTGATTTCTTAGTCTTATCATCCAATAAATAATGGTTAGCTGTCGTTGGCATCAAGTATTTAGGTGGATTTCACACAATTCATGTCTCAAGGTTTACTTGTAGAAAACATTAATAAGACCACTCCACCTACCTCACTTTGTCCTGGGCTAGAAACATCCATCTGTGTGCAGTGCTCTCTGTACGTCCACTTCACTCTCGCAGCTGTCTGCCTTGATGTCTCTTCTCTCAGGGCGCCAGCTCGTCTCGGTAGGTGCGGCTGCGCGGGGACTTGCGTCCACGAGAGCCTGGGAGTTCTGTGAAGGTTCGGACAGAGGCATGATTCAATAGCCAAGCACCTCATCTAAGTAAATGTTTCAATGTTAATCTCAAATAGTCTTTACTGTGGGAACTATTCCGACCTAGTAACAACTGCGCGTCATTAGTGTCTTTTATCATCTTGTCAACGTCACTTTGTTATATTTAAAGCTGCAGCCTTGTCAATATTTTTATATACCACTTGAGTCAAATGATCAACATTATGTTGAGTAGGTGGTTGCACATATGAAAATACCACAAAGAATATATCACAGAATGCAGTCCCTCTGTGAAACTTTTAGGTCTTTAAGTGTTGTTTTGGTTTTACTCAACCTTTTATCGTAAGTTTATTGGTTCAGTTCATGAGGCTTATGTGGCCAATGAGTAGCTATTTTTTAGCAATATATCTTTTTACGCTTATATAAACCCGATAAAACCAACTGTGCTTTATCAACTCTGCCACAAAGCTAACAAAGTGAAGCTAGTTAGTGGAGCATGATGCTACTAAAGATCTGGTTGGTGGAGACCTAAAGCAAAGTGAATATATACTTTTCACTCAGGTGGCCAGAGACAAGACCTCCAAATGAATGCAATGTTACTACGGCTAATGTTGTCTGCTGGATTATACAATTAGGCAGCGCTTTTGCTAACATGTTTTAGGATGTCAAGCTTTAAAGTTCGTATATATATTCACTCTTCCCGACGCACCCCAGGTGGCTAAAATGATTGATTTAATGCTGCTTTATCAGGTAAATATTTTGGTGATGAACTAATGCTAATAATGGCAGAAAACCTGAGACATAACGCTAAAACAGAGAATACAATACTGAGGATCTCCTGTTCAGACAATCCATAAACAAGCTTTAGTGCCTCTCTGAGTCAGGAGTTCAGAGGTTTAAATTTTTGGCCTGTCATTAGCACTGCTTCTCAGCAAAGCATGTATGCATAATATGTATAATCTGCAGAGCGTCAGGGGTTACTCGGTGTCACCATCAGAATGAAACTGGCAATTTATTCTTGTCTTCTCTGGACTTCAAACTCTTGCTGGATGCTCTCAGCTCGCCTCCATGTCTCTCACCACTCATGTCTGCAGTCTAGCATCTGCTCACTTCTTTTTCCGTTCTGGTGCATCAGGTTATGCGATGCAGAAGAGACAAGCAAGAAATAGTTAGTGTGCATACTTACTACTTCCTGCAATAGTTTTAATGAAACTATTGAAATATATATAACTGTTTATTATATTTAAATACTGGATTAGACT